GGCTGTTTAAGAGCCTGGCTGTCAGAAATCTTGGAATCTGCCAGGTCCAAAGCAAGCAGTTCCTTGTTCCCTCACCCCCTTCATTCATTCACCTTAATTAGCTGCAGCATTTCAGCCCCAGTGCCTCAGCCCAAACAGCACCTCTGAAACAACCCCTGCTTCCACACAAGGATCAAAACCTACAGATCCTGAAGGATTTATTAAATCTACCAGGTGGCTGACATTTGAGATGCCTCTTTTCCTCCACAGGTAGCAAAGCCAGGATTCCTCCACAGCAGTTCAAGTGCCTCCATGAGCAGCACAGGTCCCAAGTTTGTGTGGCTGCAGCATTTCCCAAAGGTCAGGTGTTTGTTCTCTGCTTCCTCAGCCCTCCAGGAATTGTTTTACACCTGGAAATCTCGCCCATGGCATGATGGTGGTATAGGATGAGTTCTGAGGCCCCTCCAACCCAAACCATTCCAGATTCTCTGATATGATGCCATGACCAGATGGGCTGAAGCCGTGGACTACATGGACAGGCTTAACCCTCTCACTGCCAACACAAACGTGTTCTGGAACCAGATCCAACACAGAAGAGATTTCTGTCACTTCAGGTTGCATTGGCTGCCAAACACATCAAAACCCAGGTAATTCACATGCCTCAAAAAGAACATTAACTGCCCCAAATCTCAAGTGTTTATCTGGGGCTTGGTAAAGGATTTTTTTTTTTTTTTAAGACAGGTTTGGTGTCTACAACATGCTTTAATGCTGTAATTAGACTTAGTGTTCAGAACCATCACCTGAGTGTCCAGCAGCCAGCTACAAAAGGAACAGTTCTGCTGAAAGCCCCTTCCCACATTCCATCAGGGAACTGTCCCAAGGCAAGGGCAGAGGGCCCCTTCCAGCACACCCCACACACTGTTCTACCAACAGGCCCTGGGTTGTCCTCACCTACATTCCTCACCCAGCACTCCTGGGGCAGCCCCTCCAACCTCACCAGCAGAGAAATCTCATTTTCTTCACACACCCTGGGCCACCTGCTCCTCCCCAGCAGTGCCAGGCACATATTCACCTTCCCAAATAATTCACCTTCCCAAAAGGCCAGGCTGCGTCTGGTTTTCTGACAATTCACTTCTCAGGCAGCAGAAAGTGAGATTGCACCTCACTCAAAGTAGTTATAAGTTCCCATTTTCCAACAATCCTTCTAGAAAACATAGCTCTTGGCTGTGGCAGTTGCTCCTCCACCTCCCTAATAATTAGTTTTTACCTCAACAGCAGATGCAGTTGCTTTCTTGTAAAAACCCAGAGTTGAAAGATGACTTCTTTCCCCCTGCCATCACCCATTGTGTGGGAAAACAGACAATATCCCATTGTTCCATGTACAACACTCCGAGCTGTACATTCTGCTCTGAACACACTGAAACTCTACTTGAGGCTACAGCAATTTCCATGCAGGAGGCAAAGGAGAATCTTGTATCTGATCTAATACAGGATAAATCAATGTGCACTCATTTATTGTTTATAGCTCCCATCAGCTCAAGGAGAGACACTGTCCTAGAGTTTCAAGGCTATCCACGCTGCCTTTGTAGATGGAAACAGACACTGCACTTAGGAGGGATTTTGAGAGCTCTGTTCAAACATTTCCCAGGAGTTCAGGAGGGATGGGAAATAACTAAACCCTGGCAGGTTCTCATCACTCTCAGGACAGGATTTTGGGAAAGGCCAAGCCAGGTTCACATCTCCCTTCTTGCCTTCTGTAGAAATTCAGTTTCTCATTAGTCATTGCCCTCAGGCAGGGGCTGGGGAGCTTAACTGCAGTTTGCATGGAGATGCTCAGATAAGACGGGCTGGGGAAGGGCAGCTCACACTCATGACTGTGCATCCAGGTGATGCAAGAGCTTCGCCCTGTCTCCTTCAGCTGCTGGAGCTGCAAAGAAAAACTTCCCAGCCCCTACACAGCACAGTCAGAAAACCATCAGCACCACAGGGAGCACATTTTTCTGGATGTGGTCTGAATTCCTGTCAACTTTGCAGGGTTCTGACCCTTCGTGGTGGCTGCAGATGGGAGCTCCCTGGAAGCCCTGTATCCCAGCACAAGCCAAGCAGGCAGAGTTTAATATTCCTCCCCATGCAAGTATTTTCTCTCATTAAATGCTTAAGAGCTGGAGGATTTGGGAGATTAATTTTTGCAGCTGGACATTTTCTTTAAGAATGCAATTTTCCACACAATTTTCCTCCTTTAGCTCTCTTTTATTCTAACCCCAAGACACCCACTTACCCAGGAGAGGACTTTCCTGCAAGGTTTGGAGAGGAATTCACTCCTGCACTTCAGTCCTTTCTTTTTACATCTGCTACAGACTTGCTTTCAGAAAACTCTGTTTCTACTTACAGAAACTTGTCTCCAGTTCCAGGCAATCAACAGCAAGAATCCACAACTACAAATTCATTTATCCAAAGACCTGCCTGGAACAAAGCCAGACCATGGATAGGTTTGTTTTTTGGGTTTTTTTTTTTTAATTTAAAAGCACAAGAAGTTCCTTAAAAACCACGAGAGCTGATACACTGAACCCCACAGGCACACAGCACTCAGTGACATGGCTGTGACAGGCTGGAGAATGGACTACAATGCAGAGGAGTTTGTGCACACAGGAACACAAAGCAAGGGTGAGATTTAATTATCAGCAACCTCAACCATGTGATTGAACAAGGGGCTGCTACAGGCACTTTGTCTTTCCCCAAGTGTCACCTGGAAGAGGATGGGGAGTCCTTCACTGCAAACAGTCCCAGCCTGTTCTGGGGACACAGCTCAGTGGAAGTTTTGTGTTCAATCTGCCATTGAATCCCTTGGAGTTGATGATGGCCAGGCACAGTAATGAGGGAGCTGCTCCTCCAAATTCTGGCTGAATATTCAACTATGAGAGTTTAGGCAAAGCCAGAAGGAAAGAGCCTCCTGACCTTCCCTGTCCCCATGTCCTCACCTTCACCCTGGCAGGCTCCCTCTCCCCTGACAAGCATTTCTCACACTTTTTCCCTGGAAAAGAAAAGCTGGCTGAAGAGGTGACATCACACAGTTGTGTTAATGCCATTTCAGCCCTCAGCAGCCAAGGGGAGCAGAGCAGAGGGCACACATTTGATTCCTCACAGCCTCCACGAGACACAACTTTGCTGCATTTCACAGCAGATTTCCTGTGCAGGCAAAGAGCAAAGAGCATGGACTACATGTGCTGGTTTTTAAACAAGCTTACCCTGGCCAGTGCTGCTGGCAGTGTGCTCCCTCCCTGATTTAAGCTTCCCGCTTCCCAGAGATAAAGGTGCCTTTCAAGTTGTTGATGCCAGCCTTCCCCTCCTAATCCCTCATCCCACCCTGACTTCAGAAGGCTCTGTATCATTCTCCATTGCTTCCAGAGCATAAGCTTTATATTTCTGCAGCAAATCCAACTTCAACAGTGATTAAAACACACAAATAAGAGACATTTCATTTCAAGGATGCCAGGAAATGAGTTCTCAAAAACCACACAGCGATCCTGTAAGAAGCACAAAATTGGTCCCTAAAGAACTCCTCTGTATTTCAATGTGGAGAATTTTATTTATTAATACATTCATTCTCATGCCTGTGCTTTAACACAGTCATGCTGGCTTCAAGCAATTGTTAAGCCTCACACAACTTCTTCTCTGAAGGGATGGGAGGTGAGGGAAAGAAAGAGGGAAGAGTGATTAAAATTAGTCACAAGGAATCCTATAAATACACCCGTGGATGGAGGAAGAAATCTCTCTTTTATTTAACTTAAAAATAGAGGGCTAAACTTTAAAAGACAAACAGATGGGATGAAGCAAGGATAAAAGAGAGCTCAAAGAAAGTCAACTGGGCAATTTATTCAAGGATCTGTATTGTGGGGTGGCAGAGGAGGAGGTGGAGGAGGAGGGAGGAAGAATCTTGATTATCCAAAATTAATTCCTGAGTTGGGAAGCCATAAGGGAACTCATCTTATTGCTAGAGGAATCAAATCTCAGAGGCAGTATGGCACAGAGGTATAACGAGGAAAAAAGGGATGCCTGGCCAGGAAATGAAGCATTTGTTCCAAATGTTCAGCCAGTGGCAGCAAGGGCAGGATCACAAGACCTGTGCACCTGCAAATGGAAATCACGGGGATGTGCTGGACAAAACTGCACAGATCCATCCACGAGGTGTAACACCAACCAGAAACTCTCTGAACACGCTCACACACATCTGCTGGCCACATCCAGCCTGCTGCTGGGATTTAGTGAAGACACACTGAGAAAAGCAAAGCTTCTGAGGGATGCTGGCTGCTGTTCTCCCCCTGCCAGTGCTCACAGGCTGGCTATGCCCCACTAAACAGCACATATCGTGTAAAAGTACTCCAGGTTCCTTGGTAAGAACACAATAAAGACATGGAAGGGATTTATCAACGCTTCTTCTGGGAAAGATCAGAATGTAAACTAGAACCAGCCAAAAGGAGCCTCACAAAGTGCAGATGTTTATGGCGCAATGAGATAGCTGCAGTGGGAAGGAGCCGCTCTGGGACAGCGCGCAGGAAAGGGCTTAAGGTCACAGGGGAAACCACGAGACTGTGCGGCAGAACAGCACACGGGGCTGTGAGCAACAAGCGGCACCAGAGTGACACCCCGACCTGCGGGTACCGGGCACCTGAGCTGCCGTTACCGGGCACCCGAGCTGCGGGTACCGGGCACCGTGACCTGCGGGTACAGGGCACCGTGACCTGCCGTTACCGGGCACCTGAGCTGCCATTACCGGGCACCTGAGCTGCCATTACCAGGCACCGTGACCTGCCATTATCGGGCACCTGAGCTGCCGTTACCGGGCACCCGAGCTGCCGTTACCGGACACCTGAGCTGCCGTTACTGGGCACCTGAGCTGCGGTTACCGGGCACCTGAGCTGCCATTACCGGGCGCACCGAGCCACAGCTCTGCGAGTGTCACCGGGAGCAGCGGCCACCGCAAAGCGACAAACACCGGGCAGGCAGCGACAAAGGGCTCTTACTTTCGTTAGGCAGCTCCTCCCGATCCGGCTCATCCAGAGGGGCTGAGGCGCTGCTGCCGCTGTCGTCCAGGGTGAGGATCAGCGGAACATCATCGTCCATGCTCACCGCCATGCCGTCCCTTGTGCTGCGGCCCACGGAGCTCCAACCGGCGACTCGCAGCTCGCCGGGGTGTCAGCAGCTCTGCCGGGCCAGCCGCGCCGCGGGGCTGCCTGCGGGGCACGGGGACACAGCGCAGCGCGCACCCATCTCCGGACAGCACCGCCGCCTCCCGAGCGCAGCGCGGGGCTCGCCGGCTCCGTGCCGAGCTCAGCGCACACGGCGAGCCCGGGGCTGCCCCTCCCGGCCGGGGCACGGCTCGCAGGACAGCGGGCACGCAGCGCCAGCCGCTCCTCGGCGGAGCGCAGAGCCCGCGGCGGCGGCAGCAGCGGCCGCGGCCAGCATGGCGCTAGGTGTCCCGGGCACGCATGGCCCTGCCCGCGCCCGGCCGCAGCCCAGGCCGCCGGCAGCCCGCACGCAGCGAGTTCCCGGAGCGCTTTTCTGAACTGCGCGATGCCACAAGGTCACGGGTTTCTCTAAAAGGGGATGGAAAAGGAAAATGAAGCAGGCCCAGGCCAGCGCCACGGGGACAAGTCACACCGCTGTCCCCGTCCAGCGACAGGGACACCGGCACGGCGCTGTCACCGCGACGGGGAGGCCCGGCCCGGCGCTCTCCCCGCGCCCTCCTCCCAGCCCTGGGTGAAGCTGCTCCTCACCAGCCCCCCGTGCCCGCGGCCCCGGGACCCTCCGGACCCTCCGAACCCCCCCGGGACCGCCCGGCCCGGGACCCCCGCACCCCCCGGCCCGGCCCGCCCGGCCCCTACGAACCGGCGCCCGCAGCGACGCGGCTCTTCCGCGCCCCGCCCCTCGCCTCCCATTGGCTGCTACCGTGCTAGCCCCGCCCAAAGAGGCGGGGCCTCATGGCTCCCGCCAATCTGCGCACCGAGCCTGTCCCCATCCTTTGCCGGAGGATCCGCGTTAACCCCGCCTCCCTCCCCGCCTCACACACTTCGCCTCGCCATTGGATAGAAGAATTGTCCCTCAAGACACACGAGGGTGCTGATTGGTCCGAGGTGGCGGAGTGGGCTTGGGGAAGAGGAAGCGCGAGCTACCATTGGCTGCGCCGAGGCCCCGCCCCAAGGTCAGGGAGGAGAGCAGCGGTCACCGGGCAACGGCGGAACGCGGGCGGGAGCGGCTCGGGGCCCGAGGGACCGGGCCCGGGACCCCGCGCCACCCCCGGGCGGGGACAGCCGCTTCGCCCCGCGCCGCATGGAGACGGGCACTCACGGAGACGGGGCCTCCCAGTCCGCAGGCCCCGCGGCGGTAGGAATGGGCCGGGCGCTGAGGGCAGCCCAGCCGTGCCCTGGCGCAGGGGCCGCCGTGAGGGTGTCCAGGAGCGCTGGCGCTCCGAAGGTCCCGCAGGAGATGAAGCCTGCCAAGGTCAGGCTGCTGCCAGCTCTGCTGCTTGTGCAGGGTAGCCGCTGCGTGCCAGCGCTCTGCTGGTTCCAGTGCAAAGCAGCCCTGCAGGAACCCAGCCTCAAGCCCCGACAAGCAGCAAGTCAGGGTGGAGTCAAAGGTGGAGGCTGAGACTGATGTCAGTGCTGAGCAGGCAGAATAACGAGAGCAGCAGCAGGGAGGATCCCCTGGTTCAGGCCTCTGTATCAACAACTCTGGCCCGAGCTGACACCAGTGACGCTGGACAGGCCGGATCTGCAGGGAGGAAACAACTGAACACTTCCCCCACCTCATTTCATTCAGATTTAATGTGCGTTTTCTTCCACGTGAGCACCAGCTCCAGCAGTAACAGAGCAGCTTTTGCTCTCGTGCTGGGCTGCATAGCTCTGGCACAACAAGAGGACAACAGTAAAGCACCAATCTGAGAGAGAATCATGGAACAAAATGCAAACAACACATTTATACTTAACCAACATCGTCCTCAATAGCAAGGAAGTGCCAGTTCTGACTTCCTGGAAGGCCTTGGTGACAACCTGGGCCAGTGTGGGACAGGAAAGTGTGGCTGATGAGATGGGCTCTAGTTTCCCCCACTGATTCCTTGGACCCCAAGCACAGCAGTGGGGGTAAAGTGGCCAATCCTGGCCACACATGCCTCTGTTAACTGGATTTTCAGATAAAATCTCTCCTTATTTTAAGAGGCTTCCTCTTTCAAGGACTCCAGCTCTCCAGGATCACACTGGCTCAGTTCTCTGCTGCTCAGATTCCAGGGCAGTTTCCCAGTTTGCTGAGGACTCCCCTCGCTGGCTCTCCCACCTGCTGCTGGAACAGCATTCCTGCTCCGTGTCAGTCCTCAACCCTCTTGTCTCCATCTAGTGTCCAAATCACATCGGGACTCTCTCCCAGCCCAGTGAGACCTGCAGCCTCCACAGCCTGCACTCACTGTGCCCACAAACACAGCTGATCAGGCTGGGACTGACACCAGCACTGCCAGCCCCTCCTCTGAGAAGGCCTCAGTTGTTTCCTGTCCCCCCAGTTTTACCCCAGCTGGAGAAGAGCTGCTGGATTGCCTCAGTGGGAAGCACGTGGAGAGATCTGAGAGCTTGGAGTGAATCACAGGATCCTCACTCACCTTCTCAGGTTTTAATAACGTCAGGTTATTCTTGCTTCCTGTCAGGCCCAGAAATGAGCAGAAATTCTCCTCAGTGCAGGCTCCTGGCTGCCTCCAGCTCCACCTGCTGGAGTGGGTCAAGGCCCAATCCTGCTGCTGCTCAAGGTGCAATAAAATAATTTCTGGGACAGAATGATGCTCCTAACCTGGCCTGGCGTGTCCTTGGGTGAATGTGAGTGTTTCCCTGGGCATGGGAGTTACCAAACTCCCAGTAACCTCAGCCGCTCTCACTGCAGCCTCCCTCCCCAGGGAGCAGTGACTGCAAACCCCACATCACCCACCCCATGCCCTTTATCCACCTTCATACACACAGAGCTGCTCTTTCCCACCTCAGCAAAGGAAGTGGAGGAGCTTTGGAGATGCCCACATCACTCAGCAGCATCCCACAGATCTCAGATTTGTCTCGGAGCACTTATTTGGTGAGCACCTCATAGCCCTCAGCCACACAATTATGGATCTACTCAGCACCTCCTCACACCACAAGGTGCCAAAATCCCTGGGCAGATCCTTCTCTGTCACTAACCCCATCCAGCCTGGGGCCATCCCACTGCCAGCAGGATGCAGGGCAGTGCTTTCCTCACCTCTGTGCTCGTCCTCCCTTGTCCTGCTTTGTCAGAGGAGTCCACAAGGTGTTGGTGGCACAAAGCAAGGACAGCAGGGAGACACCAAGGCACATCCTGTGCAGCCAGGCAGAGGGAATGGAGCTCATTTCCTGGAGAAGGGAACCTTTGGGAGGGCCTCAGCAGCCTCTCAGTACCTGCAAAGAGGAGGCGGCCGTGAGGGTTGGGCCAAGGTTTGTGCTCGGGTGCACAACAAGAGAACAGATACAAAATCAAAGTAGAAAGGCTCTGACTGGATAAAGGGAGAATTTTCACCCTGAGGATGGTGGAGCACTGGGAAGGAGCCAGAGAGGCTGTGCAGCCTCTATTCCTAGGGGTTTCTACCACCTTGGACGCACCTCGAGCAGGACAGATGGGATATCCTGCATTCCTGCAGGCATGAGCATGGGTGGGATGGAGCAGGACACCTCCCACATGCTCAGCAAAGGTCCCTGTCAGGGCCCTCAGACCCCAACTGCCCCAGCCAACCTCACCTGGGACCCCACCCCAGCAGCACCCCCTGTTCTGGGAGCTGCATGGCCCTGCCTGTCCCCACGGAGCTGCACTGTCCCTACAACGTGCCTGTACCTGTGCCTGGACGGGCCCTGGACTGCACTGGGGGCACTCCTGTCTCCTGCTGCTCCGACCTCCTGGCTGGATTTCCCAGACAGCAGGAACCTCCTCTGACAGCCCCTGGACATCACGGGAAGCTGCTGCTCCCACCAAGGCTGTCCCGCTTTGGTGCCACGGGGCTGTGCCCTGAACCAGGAGGCCACTGCTCCCAGCACTGTGGTCACCTCAGGCTCCTGGCTTGTCTTCCAGCATGGAACAGCCCCACCCTTCATTTCCAGCCACGGAAAGGCCCAGGGTCCTTGTGGGCTTGGTCACAACGAGGTCTCAGGTAGATTAAGGCTGTATGTACATCCAGAGGGACACTTGGCATCACTTCCAGGGGGGTCTGGCTGTGCAGCCACCTGCTGCCTTGGCATTCTTGTGCACAGGAGATCCGGACACGCTGTTGGACCGGCCCCTCACCAGAGGGCCCTGGGGGGCAGCAGGCGTTGTTGGAGCACTCTGGTTCTTCCACCTTTCTGTGCCGCGGCTGGAAGAAAGGTGAATCCTGTCCGGGGGGGTGCTCAGCCGGCTGACAGACTGGGAGCGCCCTCTGCCAGGAGCAGCCCAGCCTGCGGGGCTCCCCTCGCTCCCGGGATGCCTGCAGCCACGCGAGCTCTCCTTGCGGCAGGGCTCAGATGCGGCCGGGGGTGCGGAGGCCGGCGGGGGCACGGCTCGCAGGGGAGCGCCCCTGCAGCGTGGGGACAGGCCAGGCTGGCTCCGGGGGGCAGGCGGGGGGCTCCAGAGCAGCGAATGGAGCTTGGCTACATCTTCCTTCCTCATCCGCGGAGCTGCCCAGGCAGGACCCTGAGGCTTGGCACCAAACAGGGACTCGTCACAGAAGGACGGAGCGTGGCTTCGGGACCTTGGAGGGCGACAAGCGGAGAAACGCGGGTTGGTTACAGCGGGGGAAGGCAGAGGGGGACTCGAGGTGCCCAGGGGCCGGGGGAGTCGAGGGGCTCCGTAGGGCAGCGAGGCGGAGCGAGCCCCGAAAGCCGGGGCAGCGGAGGGAGCGCCCCGAGCACGGCTCACCTGCACTGGCTGCCGGGCCGGGAGCCGCCGGCTGAGGGAGCGGCCGGAGCCGCCCAGGGCGGCGGGAAGGCGGGCGGCGCCGGGCGGGCCCCGGCGGGCCGGCCGAACAGCGACTCATCCACGAAGGACGCCCGCACCCGGTGGCGGCCCCGGGGGCCCCGCGGAGGGGGAAGGGAAGGGAAGGGAGTTGTACGTGTCCCTGCGCCCCGTGTTCCTGCAC